TTCATTTCTAGGGTACTGATTGCTTCAAATGTACATTTTGATTTTCCCAGTACCAAAACAAGGAAGGGCTTACTTCCTCAGCACAACATAGCTGTGAAGATTAAAAAACCAAAGTACTTTGCAGTGATTTCCCCAGCTTGCTTATACATGTCATTGATTTTTTTCTTTTGTATTAGTCACTCCAGAGAAACCTGAGACTGAAAAAATAAATTACACAGACCTGTTAATAGTAAGCGTGGGTAGAATTAAGTCCTTTTGATAGACTTCATTTCAGTATTTTGTTTGAGCGTACGCAGATTTCTTCCAGGCAAACTTCTGCAGCAGGTGACTGCGGCAGGGCTCTGTCACACTCTGGAGAACATATCTGGCCCGGACGTTGCTGGAACAGAATGGAAGCCACATAGCTTTCCATAAAAATATTCCACACATCTGTATCTCTTTGAGTAGAGTGGCACAACTCTTACGAGCAGCATTTTTATCTGCTCCAAAGAGGCGACCCGTGCATCGCAACGCCAGCGACAGCACTGGGTGGACGTGATGCTGCAGCATGTGTTAAAGGGGTGATGCAGAAGCACGGAGGAGAGCAGGAGCAATCACTCGAATGAGTCGGGTGCTCTGTTTCTGTGCACCAACCCTTTGTCGAGTCTGAACCACAATAAAATAATGCACTCTGCTGGTGCAGTTCCTTGCATGCTGTAGGTTACAAATCAACACAAAGAAAATTGCTGCTCATAGTCAACTCATTCAGAGAGCAAGTACGAGATACAATGGACAAAAAAAAGAAAGAGGAACAAATGATAGAAGGTTCCCTGTAGCCCTATCACATGTTTAGTATCCCTGCATAGGTTCTCGAATCCAGATTCGGTGAGCAAAGGTTCTCCAAAAGGAGTGAAAAATAAATGCTAGGGACTTCCTAATACTTACAGTTCAATTGCCTCACTCCACAGCTTCCTGAAGAATGGAGTTTAAGAAAAATAGAGGTTCTTTCTTTCTGGTTGGACATTTTTAAGTTATCTTTTGTAAGATGACATAAAATGTTTTACTTCTCAAAGAATAACTAGATTACATAAATAAAACATTACGTATAAGACATCTCAGTACAATTTATGTGAAGTGAATTTCAGAAGGACCAGTTTATTGTAGAAAATTCAGCTTATCTCTTCCTGATCCTTTTATTCTATCTAAACACAGAAATTTATGTCAGTTCAAAAAAATCTATTACTGTTTCTCATAACTGAATCCACTATTTTCCCTCTGTGATCCATCAGGTAAAACCAAGTGCAATAGATAGCTCTAGCTGAACCTCGAACATAAAAGGCCTTAAGAATAGAATGAGATAAGTTAAACCCATCTCGCTGTGCACTGTAACTGGAAATGATAACCTTGATGTTTAATTTAAATCAAGTCACAGCAAAGACTTCTGACTATAATTGTTATCTGTCATATAAATAAAATTATTATAAAATGGAATTGGACTTGGAAAGGTATAGCTTTGCTTATTGCATTGCCTGTAAGCAAACCGAACTCTGAACGTTTATCACCCTTTGCCACTGCCTTCCTCCAGTCTGTCTCAGTAATGGATCCATTTTACTGCAAAAATATGGGAGAAAGAGCTGAAAACAAATGATTACTTTTCCACTCCTTATTTCCAGAACTTTGTTGATTCCATTGCATTCCTGATTTTTCTCTCCTTTGTTCCCCTGCCAGCTCGTATTAGAGTGGCAGCATTTCACTGCTATAACAGCAGTTTACGGACAGGTAAAATAAGGGAGAATGTGCAAGTGCACGGATTTAAGCCAGAAAGAGGAACCACTGGATCGCAGAGCAGCATCCATGGTTTCCAAGCTTGGCCTCAGCTGGATTGTTGATAGTGGCAAAGGGGCTATACCAGGCACCAGACTTTCTCAGAGCAATCCAGTGCAAGAGAAAAAGGAATGTCCTGACCCCATAATGTACCTGCCTTCCTGCCTTGCCTTGCTTTCCGCTTCTGCTAAGAAAAGAGGGTGTCCTGGTCACAGGACACACACCGACGGGGTGGAAATGGTGTTCAGGCTTGGAAGACAAAGACTGGCTGCACCTCTTCACCTACAGTAGTACATCGCCTTGGGGAGGCCAAATATACACAGGCTGGCTCAAAGATGAATAAAAAATAAACTAACTTCTTTGACACAGTGCCTATAATGAGTCGCACCAAAGTGAACCTACCTCCTGCTGCCAGCCAGTGCTGCTGCTCCTCTCCCTCGCTGGGCCAGCACAGAGGAGAGGCAGCTGGCAGAGCCAAACTCCAACGAGCAGCGGCTGTGCAAGCACGCAAAGAGAATGAGATGAAGAGGTAATGTCAGTTTACCACATGTGGGTTATTACACACACAGCCCTCAGCAAGGAGTCTCACCTCTCCTGGATACCTGCACAGCAGCAAACAGATAGGAGCCGGCCAGGAGTGCTTCAGAGGAGAAACGCAGTTTTGGTGCATTCATTCACCACCTCAAGGAGCCTCTCTCTCTCCTGTGACTAGAGGAGAAATTAGGGAGACAATGTATTCAGCTTAGCTGGACGAACAGACCTCATTTTCCTTAGACGTTGGTTTAGGGAGATATTTATTGTACAGGTGTGCTTTCTTCTTCACAGTTACCGGTGTCACTTCAGTGGAGTCCAACAAGAGCCTGCTGACTTCCACCCGAGGGCAGAGGCCAGCAGAGAGCAGCTTGGATCAGTTGGTATAATCTGGAATTCTGAAAACTTTGCTGTTTCCCTGCTGTCTTCTTTTTTTTTTTTTTTCCTGGCACCTCTTCTCCTGTGAACTGCACACGTCTGGGATTTTAAGATTATATTTCTTTTAACAACAGTTTTTTTGAGTTGGGCAAATTCAACTTTTATTTGCAACATTCTTAACGTTTTAAGTCTGAAAAATCATGTTAGAAATAGTGCTTGAACATCAAGATTGCAAGTTTGACACTGAGATCTTTCCAAATAACAGCATTCCTATTCTTATTACATAAACCTACTCTGTGGGATTTGCTAACCTCATACTGTAACAGTGTTAAACACAGCTCCTAGCCAGACGAGAGACGCGTGGATTGATGGAGGCTTGATAATCATAAATAACACCTTGTTGGGGCCATGAGCCAGTAGCTAGCGTGAGTCTTAAAACAAACATGGATGGAGGACAGCAGGAGACTTTGCCTGGGAGTCTCCCAGTTCTTTCCATGCCAATTCTTATCAGGATGGGTTTGGCAAAGCTGTTTAACCTCTTCTTCTTTCAGAGAGTATGATTACTTTCCAAAATTGCATGGATGCTATGACAGCTAATTAATTATTGCTGTATTGCGCTTTACAAATGTAATTAGTATAAAGAGGGTTAGTAAGGAGAAACACTGCCCAGAAAATGAAGGTGAGCAGAGACAGAATGCTAGAAAGACTCTAGGTGTAGTAAGATAGAAAGAGGAGAAAAACAATAAATAAGGACAGGAGTTTTGAATAGCGAGTACATAAGAGATGTGTATGAAAGAAAAAAAAAAGGTGTGCTGCCTTCCAAAAGGGAAGAGGAGGGGAAAAGGAAATTAAAAATTAGAAGCAAGGCACTGAGATGAATGGATTTGAAGTACAAAGAGAAGAAAGGAAAATGAAAAAGATGTAATAAAAGCCACCCAGCCGTTAAAGTAATGAATCTCTTCATTTATTTATACCCTTTTTTGATATTAGAGGAAAATGGTAGCACACTTATACTGAGCTCATGCTATGTTAACACAGTACAGCTCTAAATTCTTGGATTATGTTGTTAAATAATTAACTGATGAATCATAAGTAAATAATTAAAACTTGGTTCTCCAAGCCTCACAATTGAGAAAATGAAACTGTCACAGTGACACCAGATTTTAGCAGAACCGATATTGTAGTTCATTAGAAAAACTGCAAAAAAATTCTAAAATCTGTAGCTGTAAAGACTGCTAGCAGAAGCACCTGGGTTCCATTTCCCCATGGAACAAAATAAAATGTATCATCTATTATTTAAATCTCCTAGATTAAAGTTACATCTGGAGAAGACGGCAGTGTGGATTGCTAGTTCCTCTGCAAAATACCTATACCTGCCCTGAGCCTTGTCCTGTTGGAGAGGGTCCGTGATTTGGGCAGCAGGACAGGAAAGGGTGTCAGTCTAAAAGGCTAAGACAGTCTTGAGCTCATGTTAAAATATCTTTTCCTACAATTCCCCTAAAATGAAGAACTATAAAATAAATCCTTACACTTCAATGGACAATAACTCATTGGTTCTGTGACACTATTTAACAACATTAAGAACAAACACCTTCAAGAATCTAATAATAATTATGTTTATTCTTGCAAAAGAGGAACAGTAGACAAACTAAAAGAGATCACTCCTTGCATCCACAAAACCAAATAATTCCTTTTCTCCCATGAACATCTGTTTTATTTTCCGATACAGCAAAAGCATACGTACTTCAAGTCTAAGCAAGGCAATTAATCTGGATTCTGCCATCATCACAGTCACAGGATTATTTTTTTTTTATTTTTTTTTTTTTTACAATAAGAGGACTCTGGAAGCACAGATCCTGCTGTGCAGAGCCATCACATTCCTCCCTGAGGACAACCTGGTAGGAATGAAAAATCTAAGGAACAGCAAATAATTATTCCAATAAAGAAATGACAAAATTCTACAATGGTTATTGACCAACACTCATTTAATTTGTTCATTCTTGCAATCTGCTATTTAAAAAATAAATAGAAGACATTTTATTTTTTTAGAAGCCCCCGCCCCTCCAGCTTCCTGATGCTTAGTCTTGCAAAACACTTGCCAGCTGCAAAAATTTTAAGTGTCTTTGCATATCTGCGCAGGGATGAAAATATCGTGGAATTCGTCACCACCTCCTAATAACCTCCACGTCTGAGGTTAGGCTGATTTCACAGCCCCCCCCCTCAGATTCCACACCCCCCCCCCTCAGCCGTGTTGGCTAGCGTCTGTCCCTCAGCCCCGGCCTCGGGCTTCACTTCACCACGGCCTGGGCGTAGGACGAGGCGTCGGTCTCGAAGTAGCTTTCCAGCTGCTCGCAGAGGGCCTCGAAGGTGGGCCGCCCGCCCGCCTCCGCGCTCCAGCACTGCAGCATCAGCTGGTAGAGCGGCGCCGGGCAGTTCTCCGGCTGTGGAAGTCTGTACCCCTTGTCCAGCATCTGGATCACCTGGTGTCCTGCCATACCTGCAAGCCAAAGGGAGTTCCTCAGACTACGCGGGGTCTACTTCGTGACGCCGTGTGTCTCTATCTCTCGCTGAGACGAGGCAAGGGGATGCCCCGCCGTGAGGTACACGTGCAGAGCTGGCCCCAGCAGGCCCCCTTCAATGGCAGCAGACCCCAGGAGCCACCGGAGGATCCCAAACCAGCGGTGACAAACCACCTCCAGCAGCTCCCAGCCCGCTCAGCCCGGCTGTGCCAGCTGAGACGCAGAGCAAAGGGGTTCACCCGGGTGTGAGGCTCCTCCTCCGCCACCCAGGCTTGCTGAAATTTTTCTAACATCTGTTTCGCTTAAATTGTTCCTAAATCTCTCTAGTCTCAGTGACTCCAAAACCTCCCAAGAAAAATCCATCCTGTTGATGAATTTTCCTCACATTTAGAAAGTTTTCCCTAACATTAGTCCTAAGTTTCCTCTGGTGCAGCTACGCAACAGCATCCTACCTGCTCTGCCACCGCAAGTCATAGACAAGAAACCGTTCCTCTACCTTTGCTATACCTTTATATTTTAAGACTATTGTCCCATTCCCTTTCAATTTTCTACTCTTTAAATTAAATTTTGAATTGCATAGTCTTTACTTCTTTTTCCTAGATCTCTGAATGGTCTTTCCCCCGTATGTTACCCTCTGCCACCATGGATCAACATAACCTCTTCTCCTAACTGATTGCTGAGGACAAACTCCTGCAGTAATACCAAGTAGACAGCCATGGCGAAAGGACATTTTCTACTGTAAAGTTACAGGTAAACTACGCCTTTGCAAAGGGACAACGCTGACCATATTTTCAGACAATACTGAGAATCAATGTTACATATCATTTATACTTGAATAGTTTATTTATGTGTGTGTGTGTATGCACACACGTATAGTTTATATAAGAAAGAGTTGAGAATATTTTGCTTTGGTTTCCCTTTTTTTTTTTTTTTGAGAACAGTTTCAGAGGAGGTGAGGGTGGGAATCGAAAAGCAAAATCAATTTTTCCTTTTACAGGAAATACCACTTCAGGACACTGTGAAATGTAGTTTATGGAGAACATACCACCCCTCAGGCCTGTACAGATGCAGCATAACTTTTTTTTGCTTTAGTCCTACCCTTGTGTTCTCCTCACCAGCACAAAGTGAATCACAGTCAATCATCTCACTGATATCTTGTGTTATTGGAGCTACAGTTCCTTGAGCACTTCTCACAGTGCTAGGAATATCTACCTTAAATCTACCTTTGAGGTTGGTGACACTTTATTCCTAATTCTTGTGATCCTTCTCTTTATGAAGACTTTCCACTGCAATAGTCAAATATGAGGGAAGGGGGTAAAAATACCCAGATTCCTTTTTCAGACACCTTCTTCCTGAAGTGCCTGTGCAGCACATCACAAGTAATAATCTGTTCTTCTATGAGATATCCTTCAAAAAAAAATTTAAAAAAAAAAAACAAACAAGGGTGGGATGGGGACATAAAAACCTTTCTTTTTTCCACATTCCAAGAACTGGCATCTTTGATCTGATGCTGGAGGGAAATAACCAGTTGGCTTAGGTGCCTGTGCGCTGCAGGTTGACTCCAGCGAGAGGAAGCTTGAATGGCTGCTAATCACTGCCTTTGGAAAGCTTCCAGGGAGCTTGGGGCAGCCAGAAGGTCTGACCCACTAAGTGGACCTCATCTGAACAGCCTTCTTTCTGTATTTACAGTTTTAACCCTTTAACATGCCCATAGTGCAGGCACTTAATGTTCTTTTTGTGTCATTCTTAAAACAAGAAAACATTAGACATCTTTCTTTAGGTAAAAGCACTTACCAGCATAAGGCATCTTCCCATAGGTGAATATTTCAAACAGAAGTATTCCAAAGGACCAGACATCTGACTTTACGCTGAATTTGTTGTAGCGGATTGCCTCTGGGGCTGTCCATTTCACTGGGAGTTTTGTTTCAGGCCTAGCTTCATATACGTTTTCATTTTCTACCTGTCACGGGTAAAATGAAGCAAACTTGATTTCAGATCTGGTTCAGCAAAGCACTTAAGCACCTGACTAAGCTAAGCATGTGCTTAATCTTATCCTCTTTTAGCCAAGCACTTGCCTTTCATGGTATTAAAGCACGCACTTTCTGAAGTCTATTGTTGAATTGGGCTTCACAGTTGAGAAATGCTACTATTCATCAGAGGCTTTTCTAAAGCATTTATCATTTCAAGCAAGCACGCAGCGTTGGAGTGGCTCATGATTAATTATGACCTGCTACTGTGAATTCTGGACCTGGCATGCAAGATTTCAAAAGTCTGTCAGGAGTGGCAGTGTAAGCACCCTGATGACACTAGAGACCAAATGGCTGCGCGTCTGGTCTTCAGGAAACAGAGAAGGCAAGAGCAAGAGCTAATGAATTTTGGAACCTTTCTTCTGTGATTTATTGCGGTGTTGAAGGGCCATCAACTTTGAAAACAATCACTTAAGCAGGTTTCAGGGACCAAAGAACAAACTCCAAGTGATTCAAATTAACATATTAGCTTACAGTGGGTCCAATTAATTCATGTAAAGTGAAGATGAAAAGCACAAAGAAAAAGAAAAAATATTTACTTGCAAATTTGTAAAATCATGTCTTTAAAGTTTTATAGCACAGACATCTAAACTTTGTGAACGTTTTCTCTCTTTAATTCCTAAACATAATTTAGTGGACATCCATCACATCCAAACCTTGGTCAGGTTTTTCACATGCAAATCCAGCCAAATGTGTACAAGATTTTGTTTGTTTGATTGTTTTTAATACGGAATGTATGTCTCCCAGCTGTAATGCCCTATAGTCTTAAAATACTGTTTTGTATCTACATACAGATATAGCTGGCATCTTGACCATAATACTCATCTGCGGAAACAAGAAATTCTTTCATTATACTAATTAATGCATACAGAAATACAGATTTCATTTCTCACACCTACTCCTTTGGGATCTTTGCATGTGACCATGTTAGTGCTTTGGCTTAGGAGACAGAATATTCCTAAGAAAGTCTGCCAAGATGACTCTATGACAGAGTATTTTAGTAAAGTTCAGTTTTAACAAGAAATGTCAACAGCTGTAAATTATTACCCTCTCTAGTGAGGACACAGGAGAAATATCCATTGTAAGCACTGTTCATTTAAAAATATATATTTTTCATGTTAAAAAATGTGCAATCTGAACTTACGCATAACTAGAAGAATCAAAATTAAGCAAAAAGCACTTTCAAAGTCCTTTGATGCCACTGTCAAGCCATTATTCTATATTTCAGTATGTAATAAATCCAACTCTGTTATGAACTTCAATTTCTGCTGCTTGAATGGAAAAAAAACAAACAAGAAGCAGAGAGCTTTTTTCTCTGTTTTTCCTTCTCAGTGTAAGAACATAAATCAATAAAAACAATAATAAGACCTCAGAAATTATGGATTACATATTGAAATCCATAAAATATGGCAAATCAAATATTTCCAACTCTGATCAAATCATTTTCAGAGGTACGAAATCTCATTTCTAAACCACAGCTCTTTCCTAGCGTGATCTTCGTCAGCATTACTTGGCATTCCATGTCCTCAAGGGCTAGAGAAAAAACACAGTGCAATGGCAAAGAACTTGAAACTGCATCAGATTTAAAGCTCTGAGAGCTCACTTTATGAACTCCGCTATTAGTCGTGGAGAGGAATAATGTCCTTTTATGATTACAACCTGCACTCGCAAGCATCACGGAGGCAGTGGGGAAGTGAATAAGGAGAGAATAGCTCTCAATACATTTTTATATGCCTTCCCTTACAGGCTCAGGAATATAATTTTGCCATCATTCCTGTGATCTCTCTCCATGCGGCAGACACTACTGCTGTGGATAAAGGTTGTGCAAAGGGTATTGCTTGGTGGCTGACTGGGAAGTAGACACAAAGGACTTACACAAAGGACTTACACAAAGGCACAGACCAGCTTCTAACCTTGCATGGGATAACACAGGTAGAGGATACAAGTGAATGCGTTAGGGCACCTTTTCTCCCTGAGCATGCCTTTTGCCTGAACCCAGCAATTCAGAGGCTACAGTTCATCCTTCAGTTGACCTCTTCCACCTTGCTCCCCAGAGTTAAAGTAGAGCCAATTCACCCTCTCACAACCCACCTTAAAAACTCTTGCAAGTCCAAAGTCTGCCACTTTGTAAACACTGTGCTCACCAACAAGAACATTCCTGGCTGCCAGATCCCGATGGATATAGTTCTGAGATTCCAGGTAAGCCATCCCGGAAGCCACCTGAGCAGCCATGTCTACTTGATGTGGCAGGAAGATTTTGGAGCCTGCATCTTCTGTTTAAAAAGAAGGTGACAAGGATAACATAATATTTACATTATTTACATATAAATAACATAACAGCTGACTCGTTCAAATGGACGACACAAATCAACAGAACCATGCAATACAATAAAGTAAAGCCCGACCAAATGACAGAGGTTAGTGAATGACACTACTTAAAGCCATGCAGCTAGTTTCATGATAAGTGAGTAACAATGCCTGTCTCATCTTCTCTAAAAGAGTAGATACTAAATGCAGCAGGTAATCTAGGCCTGGAAGGAGCTGCTGACACAGTCCAAAGAAAAAGGCATCTATCTACTGGTAGTAGTGCAGATGTTTGCCTTTCTGACAGGTGCATAACCTGTTCCAAACTGTGAGTAACAGTTAATGTCAGTACTCACTGGGTATAGCCAAAGCTGACCAAAGATGGAAAAGCACAAAATTATCCTTGTTCCCTGTTCTCCAATGATTCTTACTAGGAAATACACCATCTGCTGTCCGGTGTAACTCTCATTTTCACTTTCTAGTCCAGTTGACTGCTTCACGCTATTGTCTCTGTTGCTGCTACTCAACAGCAGGATTCCTTGAGCTGCTTTCAAGCTGCCTGCTTCTCTAGCAGAACTTTCTGAAGCAATGTGCATGCTGTTCCCACCACTGTAAGATCAGCAAGTCCCAGAAATAGAGATTTGGCAATCAAAGATCGGCTGTTCAAACAAAATAGTAGAAGGACTTTGACCAGAGCAACTTGCCTCCACAAATGAAGGAAAGAGCTTTAGGCCATGAAAAACTGCAGCCAAAAATTGTAAGACAGGTACCTAAAAACAAGTCATTGGGGTATAACACATTAGAATACAAATTCAGGGCATTTTGGGGACAGCTGACCTCCTTGTAGCAAAGAATTTCTATCCCAAGGTAATCTAAGTAAGCCAAATCAGTGTTATATTCAAGTGTCACTGTCACCCAAAGCCAAACGCTGCAGCACTGAAGCATGAGTGCCTACCTCTGCAGCCTCTGATACTCAAAACAGTTTCAACTTCCTGTTTCAAAATCTTAACAATATCAAAAAGCTGAGTGTTTACTGCTAGGTTCATTGGCAGTACTCCTTTCTCATTAGGATGGTGACTTTTCCCCACTGCCTGTGTGTTAAAGACATAAAACATTTGTAGGTGGCAGTTTTCTGTTGCTTATTTTGAACTGATTCATAGTGAAAGTGGGTCTTAACATTGTTTTGCACAGCCTCCTCCAGTTCTGGCATTTTATCCGACCTAACCTTGCAATCGCCCCTTATGGAAAGTGCGAAATGCTATTGTGTACTAATCTATTCTGCAATCTCCAGGCCTTGAATTTCCTGCTCATCTGGATGTTCTGAGATGAATAGGTAAAAGAAATGAATTTTAAATGATGAAATTTGCCCTGTATGTGTATTGTCCTACTTCCTTTTTGAGGCTAAACTCATTGTCATGATAACCCAGCACTAAAATTATTTACTTCCATTGTTGACTCAGAAAGTCTTTTCCTCTCCCACACATATGTTTAATAGTTGCCTTGACCTTTAAAAGAGAGAGGGAGAAAAATCAGGCTATGTGAAAATTTATGGCTTAACCATCAAGAAAATCCGTCATCAGGTCACAGAATAATATAACAATCTGAAGTTTTGCAATCCTGATAACTGGCAGATATCAACATTTATTATACAGCTTGCTGTACAAATATATAAATCCACAGGTGATGCTTACATTGTATTTAATCAGAAAATAACTAAATATGTACAAGCACCTTGCATCAGTACCTGGATTTTGGAAACTAGCTTATGTGACTCAGTTTAAAATCCCTCTCTCCATGTTTCCTTTCACACTGCTCCTTCATCTGCACAGGCTGTGAACTACCTCCTGGTGAAAGCAGACACGGATGCAGGCAGACCTGAGCACAGGTTTGTCATTGCTCTGCCCATGCTCCAGGCTAGCCTGACATAAACTTGCTCCAAGAGGCAGAACACAGCAATGTCACGGGGAAAAGGCTGACTCATAAGCCTCCTGTTTAATGAGCTGCTTCAGTGCAAGATAGGAGCTGGAGCTGCTAAACCCTCCCTGTCTTATTGCCTGCAGGGCACACAGGTGCACCCTGCTAAAGGACAAGGGCGAGATCCACCTCTAATGGTGGAGTTGCAGCTGAAGGACCATTTCTTCCATTTGGGCTTGTCTGGGATCCCAGACCAGGCTGACCTACTGCCTTTAACGTGTGGGCTGAGGGGGGGGAAGAGGCCACGGTTGCCCTGGCTGCTGCAGTATTTCTTGGAGGGTTTCTCTCTGTGAGCTGGTTCTACGCTGCTGCTGTTCTGGAGCTAAAGAAGGGAAAGCTGTAAGGAGGAGCCTCAGCTGATCAGGAGCTGCAAACTGTGCACAAAGATAGAGGCTGACAGCACGGGTCTCTCTGGGATCTGAAGTGCAAATCATGTACAATTGTCTCGTAAAGGTTCCTGACTATACCTCCAAAATCCCAGGTTGGGCCCGCCAAGGCACGCAAGTTCAAGCACACCGCTGCGTTAGTACAACTGCGGAGGTTTCCGGACCAGAGCCAGTTCCCATCTGGCTGGTTCAGAGCAGGTCGGAAGAGTTTACAGCTGTATTCATATGGGTACACACGTGCTTCAGTTTGTTTTAAAGTGTTTTAAAGGAGGAAAAACTACAACAAAAACCCAAAGTTAATATAACTTCCACACTCAAAACCAGGCACTACTGGTGAATTTATAAAACCTTCCTGTGGCTTATTCTTTATCCTATAAGGAAAATGTAGCACCTCCATGTCCTTTTTTACTAATATTTTTTGACAAAGCTATCACCCTTATAAGAAAAATTTATTAGAGAAAATATGAAAGAAGGCTTAGGGTCTGCACCTTGTTCTAAGCAATCAGTCACCATATCTCATATAGGAAAGACAGGAAAATATTCTCATTGACAGATGCCTGACAATATAAAAAATATAAAAACAAGCAGCACTTTCTCCAGTAGAGAACATTGCCTTCATAATAATTCACCGAACTTCAAGACTACAACCCTGCCAGAACAAGCCCCAGGTCTATCAGAATTGATAAAAACACTCATGCATTTATGACAATTTCATTCATATCCAATAACAAAGAAAAGTTTTCAGCTGCATTTTTCTCATACTGATGGCAGCTCAGTAACTCTGCATAACAGTGTTCATCAAGAAGTATCCCAAAGTACATTCACAGGGTGTACGGGGAATCCACATGCCCATCATTACTAAGTAGCCATCTTTATGGTGGAATGCGATAGTCACTACGCATGAAATATGAGGGATTCTTAAAGCCGGAAAAACATACTATGCATTTCTAGGAGGGGAAACTTAACCAAAGAATGATCTCCAGACTTTCCCTCTGTTCCAGTTTGCCATATTTACCCATCGTGCACACAGACAGCAGCCTTCAGAAAATGTTTTCCTGGTTCCTGCGGTGGCTGAGTCTCAAGAAAGCTTATCAGGAGCCATGCACTGACCGCCAGCTGATACAGAACACTTCCAGTCACGGAGCTCTAGGCAAGTTTCAGATCTCTTTCCTTATTACTCTCATTGACGGCAATGACTTTTTTCTGCCCAATACTTATCAAAGCACCTGGATCTCTGCCTCCACCTCCTAGTTCTGTTTATCCCCCTGTGCATACACCATCAGACAAGGAGAGATACCACTAGGCTGGGTCTCAGCTGGCCATTTTTACGGTTATCTTGACGGCTGCCTGGAAACCAACTGACTTTGCAGAGTCTTCCTGATGCAGGTCTACAGGAACGAGCACTTAGGCAAAGATCAGGCTGCATACACGTGCTGCCCACAGCAAGGGCAGCTCCTGTGTATATGCTGGCAACCCAGCCACAGACGGGCTGCAGCCCTCATCTGTCCTGAACACGTTGTACTCCGTGCACAAACAGGCCAATTTTCACCTCTGCAATAGCTGTGACTCATCCTGGCTTTCTCAGAGCTGTTTTCTCCTGTGAAATAAATGTTTTCATGCACAGCAATCATTTCCTGATGTGCTAGGCTCTTTCAATCAGATAAGCATCACTCTGCACACAAAGGCACCAAAGATGAGAATTTAAAGGAAATTTGTGCCTTGCTACCTCTGGCCACTAAATGCCCACAAAACTGTAGATGATCTGGCCCCAGCTTGTTGAAGCCCCTCTCTGTGCAGTTCCTGGTGGGGATGTCCCTCTCCCAGAGATTGCTTTAGCTGTAATTGTCCCTGGACTGAGCCTCACTTGAAAAATGGTTCCATGGAGAAGATGGGGGAAGGTAAATACCATCTGTGGTATTTCACAGGGCTTTGCCTTATGGGCTGGAGACAGAAGAAATTTAGCAAGACAATCACGGTGAACATTTTGTCTTCAAGAGATCATTACAGCTTTAGAGACATTTAGCATCCTAGAGACATCGCTAAACTGAAAATCGGTAACAACACTAGAATCAAGCATTTCTTAATAGCAGGGGTGAACTTAAAGTGCAATCATTATGCTAGCCTTTTCCAGGCTGTACAACTTTATTTTTAATTATTATTTGCCTTCAAAAGAGCACTTTGAAGTGCTGCTGAGATAAAAGCCCTGATGCGATAGGCAAGGGACAAATTCACAGTGAAAGGCTATCCCTGCCTAGTAATAAGATTTCAAAGCTGTTAAGTACATTTTGTGGAAGTGCCTCTATTTCATGTCAAATATGATGACCTATCCTTCTGGATACTTATATTTTTATTCTGTTGGTGTATGCTCCTGTCTACTCACAGAACTGGGTGGAAAAATGTGGGTCATTATAAGAATCAAACTGTGAATGTGAGATTCTCTCCTACTTCTCAAATACTTTGGCATATCAAAAATTAATAAACCTCTTTCTTTCCTCTTTTCTCATCCCCACAAGCAACACATAACACAGGTTTTATATTAAACCAGAGTGTTGTACTTTTATCTTTTATGTTAGTGTGTTTTAGTAAACTGCCAGGTGTGGCACCTCTTGAAATGAGTTTATAGTCATTTGCTTACTTTGAAGGTATTCTAGAAGACTTCCATATCTCATCAGCTCAGTAATAATATAAATTGGGTCTTCCAAAGTACAAACAGCATAAAGCTGTATAAGCTTTGGATGTCTCAAGTTCTTCATTATTTGTGCTTCCCTCAGAAAGTCCTTTGGATCCATTGAACCTGAAACAACAGCATATAACAAAACATAAACCGAGGTTATTAAAGGCCTTCCTACCAGCCTGGCGGTCTTAAGGGAATAACTGAGATTGTTTTCTGTCTTTCAAAGTACATTAGCATCTCAAATCTTTACAGTTCCCACAGAAAACAGACAGTGCAGCTGAAATAAACAGTTAATGAGTGAAACATGGCAGTTGTGCAGGGACAGAGAACATATGTATTCCAGCCACCAGAAATATAAAGACTAACATTAACCGCCCCCTGGTCTCCCCCAAACAGAAAAAAAGTGAGGCTAGAATGTTAACTGATATAATTTAAGTAAACAATTACATTACAACTGGTTAACAAAATGACCAGAAACTGAAGTAAGAGTGCCTAGGTAATGAACATAAAATTTCTGACAGAAAAATAGTACTGCAATAAGAATTTGTTGCACTATTTTTGTGAGCTTCAGCAATCAAAGCCTGAAAGCATTGAAATGACTTTAGCATATAAGGAGTAGATGTGTGCATTTTATATACGGAAATACAAATAACTATTTTTAATGCTCACATAATAGCAACGTTATTAGATATACCAAAGTATGCACAGATGTAACAGTAATTTTACACTCCCTTAAATGCAGAAGTATCTTAACAGCTAATGATCCCAACTTTTCAAGTGTTACATAAGGTCATAGTATCTCTAGTTCTATTCATATACACAGCAAGCCAAAGCACAAACTATGTCAAAGAAACAACACAGAAATGGTACAGGGAGCTAAAGACATTGGCAAATTCAGGATTAGAGCTCAAATGTCCTGAGTAGGGGATTGATTAGAGAAAACATGCACAAATCAAGAAGCAGAGCTTTCTCTATAAATGATCCAGTAGTGATCAGATATTCTCAGATGTTTGAGGAAGATGGTAAATAACATCTACTTCACAATACTTGTAGAAACAAATGTGAAATTATCCCACCACTCAAACGTTTCCTTCCTCCCAAATAAAAATAGTTTCATTAAGAAAAGATTACATTGAAGGTCGGGGGCAAAAAAAAGTTACCCAAGCCCAGTCTGCTCTATGCCATGTTTAAAAACAAACTCTTCTCTTAGTGTAAGCAGACTGAGTCATTTGAGAAGCCGAGGCTGCAAGAGTAAGAGTCTTTATTTATTATTTTTTTTAACATCAGGTAACCAACAAAGTTCATTTGGGAGTTTGCCTCTGTTCCAAATACGGATGTTTCAATGAAGTGAAATGTTGGGAGGATGTTAAATGGCTCAGCAATAAAACTCCACCAGAAAATCTGTTCTACAGAAGGAACCGGCAAATCAGCCTGGGCCACCTTTACCCAACAGCTACCTCGAATGCCACCTCCTGAAAAGTGCTCTAACCTATTTCCCAAAACATGGCAATGATGTTTGATTTCATGTTCTTGCATCAACACAAGAGGAATGACTCAGAAATGCTTCTGAGATAGACTTTATGAAAAACGAGCCACTTGACATTGCAACTTGTGAGAGCAAAAACTATTACAAGGGACAGGTGCTCCTCTCCCCCGTGTCCTCAGACTTTCCTTGGCAATCCCACGGGGTGCAATTTGACAATACTTTACAGGATGACATTAGGAGGGATGGTGAAAGTTAATGGATTTCCATGCCATCAATAAATGGATAGCAGCCAATAATACATCTCCTCAACAGGTACAGGCTATACCCATTTCCTTTCGTCACTGTCAGAGGAAAGTGGGGGCCTGCATGAAAAGTAAATGACTCATACTTGGTCTGGATAAAGCAGAGATTATGACAGTCAGGTGGAAAAAGCCAAATATCTGTAATGCTAACACTATGTCCTTTTCCTGTTTAGAGCAGTACAATATTTACAGCTTTATTTGAACTTTCCACAAATCTTAGATTTTTTTTTAAAAAAGCCTAGGGTTGTCTTTATAGGGTTTGGACTCACTTTGATACTGATTTAATATTGTGGTCCATTTGCTTACTCTTTTCAAGATATATGCATTTGTTGTGGAAATCATCCTAAAGTCTACAGAGAAGCTGCATGGTGTGAAGTATTCTGCCTCTAAAGGTAAACACATATGCATGACTAGTGATTTAGCATCTGTGCCAAAATTTGACAAGTTGATCCTAAAAAGGATAAAGTATTTGCAACTTGGGGTCTACCAAATCATCTGCCCTCTATGGATCATTATACAGGATTTCTTCACACCATGGAAAATGACAGTCTGATTTGTTCCCATCATCAAAGTTTGCCTACAAGGCATCTCTCAGTTTAACCATGCTATAAACTTCTTCCAACAAACTGAAACCAAGCAACATGTTTTTCACATATGACAACTTCCAGTAAATTGATCAGGAGGGAAGTATTCTATTAACTGAATCCTTCTTTACACCGTAAAAGTAATTAATAATAATAATGATAACAATCCAGGGACAAAGATCAACAAGTATTTCCTGCATATTTTAAAAAGCATATGTAACCTTCAGTTTTATTTAGTTTATATCTTTAAATAGCACAAGTAGCAGACAGTGCCCAAAACCCCCCAGAGCCCTGTAGCTCTCATACTGTAGTTAACAAGTGGATTGGATGCTAACTGAAAAAATTAAAAAGTGTCTTTATCAGTGTTTTGTCTAAGATTAGGTTTTAGCAACTAGATAAGCAAAGTAAAAACTGCCTCTAAAAACAAGTAAACATGCTTGTTACAAGTTAATTAGATAAAGCCTGTCACAATGGTGGCAAAGAAGATACATTTCTTTGAGGAAGTTTACATAAATGAAATATATGAAATACATGCCATATGGAGTTTCGAATAACTGGGTTTTTTTAGTTTGTAGTTGAATTACATGTGTTTTTAATGTGTACAGCTGTAAGTGGTAAACACAGGATGAAGAGTAGATTACTGTAAGCAGAAACTCCTTGATAAAGAACCAACTAGTTAACAGAAGCCTTTACCAAAACAACAAGTATGCCTTGTGTAAGACACCAGTTTGGGAGCAGATTGATCAGTACCTGAAGAAAATACCATTTTGATAATTTGACTTTTGCATGAAAAATGTTTTTGTAAATGTCAAAGTCCTTCTTAGGAACAAAATGCTGGAATACGTTTCTTTGATGTGTTCTATGATGTGCTGCTTTGCAGAAATCACCTCTAATTTAAGCCTATTTAAAGCAGGTATATCACTTTGATTACTTTCTTTCTGAAAATATTTTGTTCTAGAACTGAGGAAGCTTCACATTATAAGATAAACACTGATAATTTGGAAATTAATTAGAAAGAAAGGTCAGTTATTTTCCAGTTTCCACTGGCCTAAATGTAAGTGGTCCTTAAATATTTGATAAGCCCCTCCAGAGACCCCTTGTTTGCAACTTTCAATAAACCTTCCCAAATGACTTCAAAGTGACCTTGTACTTCAGAGCAACCTTGTCTTCTGGATAAGTTTATACAAAATGAACTTATGTACAGAGTACAGTAAGCATATACTGTGATCTTCTGAATAAGTTTATGCACAATAAAGAAATAACATGAAAAGTTCTTGGTAACACAAGAGACTGAGTCCAAACTATTCATATTAAGAGGAGAATGAGATAGGTATCTGACAATCCTCAAGCAGCTTTCTCACCATACAGAAGTGAACTTACAAGTTTGTGTAACGTTATATAGTGAACTAAATGGAATAAAAGAATTTCTTTGCTCAGGGAAATTGGGAGACTTCCCAGAGTGCAAAGCTTTTTACACTGCAAATGTAGATGCTCTTTAGAGATGACATACTGAAGAACTGAAAATATTATTAAAATCTCTGCTGACACTACCAACCCAGGGACTATTTTAAGAAAGCCTCCTGAAAAAAAAATCATGTTTGGGCAGCTTCCATGCAAAGACAGAAGCTTGGGAGATGCTTTACAATATGATAATGACAAATGCATCTGTCAGTTTGAACAGGCATAATGAACTTTCTCAGATACGATTGATTGGTGATGATAGATGTCTGCTTTACACGCTGACAGCTGGAGAAGCAAGCTAGCCCAGACAATAGGTTCTAGAGAATCCATCACACTCAGCATAGGACAAAATGCAAATCCCAGCTGCAATGATTTCCACTGAAATAGAGAAAACAATGTCTCAGTGAGGAAATAAAAACAGAAATGTGAAATGACATGTTCAGGGACCTACAGCAAGACAGTGCTGTGCAGAGCCGAGAACAGAAAGAGCAATTTCTGGCTTCTAGACCATTTTCCCATCTGCTGATCCGTACGCCTCTTTGATGACTGTGGGTCAACAACTCAAAAGTCAGAGATGTTCCTTAAGGCAAACTTGTTCTTGTATTTTGTTTTTTCATTCACACATCCATCACTATGTTTTTGGCTGGTAAAATGTCACAGACGTCTGCAAAGCAGAGTCAAACACCAGTGAACAAATAAGAGAATTATCTGAGCGAAGGCATCACATTACTACTGCTTTTTGTTTATAGTCACAGTGATCAACAGATTGTAATAAGGATAAAGAGGTCTCTTCAGGGAGCTGCTTGGTAGAGTACCACAGGATAAAGCCCTGGGGAGAAGAGGGGCCCAAGGAAGCTGGTTAATATTCAAGGATCACCTCCTCCAAGCTCAGGAGCGATGCATCCCAACCAAGAGGAAGTCAGGCAAAAACACCAGGAGATCCACATGGATGAAGAAGAAGCTCCCGGGCAAACTCAATCCTAAAAAGGAAGCTACGGAGGGTGGAAGCAAGGAGAGATGGCCTGGGAGGAATACAGAGAACCCATTCGAGCAGCCAGGCATCAGGTTAGGAAAGTTAAAGCCCTGATAGAATTAAATCTGGCCAGGGACATCAAGGGCAACAAGAAAAGCTTCTGTAGGTATGTGGGCGATAAAAGGAGGACTAGGGAAAATGTGGGCCCTCTCCTGAAGGAAACAGAGACCCCGTTATGCAGGACATGGAGAAGACTGAGGTACTGAACAACTTTTTTGCCTTAGTTGAGGAGAGGAGTGACAGAGTGGCTTTGG